ATAAATTAAAGAAAGAAATAAAAGAAACAATGAATAAAATCGCAGTTCAAAATCCACCACCAGTTGATATTGGACTTCATCCAACAACACAACAAGTATTAAGAAGAGCAATAGAGAAACAAAAAAGAATGGGAGACTCATATCTTGCAATAGATGTAATTGTAATGTCATTAATGGAAGAGAAAGAAATTAGTACAATAGTAGGAAATAGTGGAATTAATGTGAAAGAATTTAACAAAAAAATAACAGAAATGAGAAAAGGACAAAGTGTAGAAACAAAAGAAGCAGAAAGTCAGTATGAAGCATTAAAGAAATATGGAAATGATTTAACAGCACAAGCAGAAAGTGGAAAGATGGATCCAATTATTGGAAGAGATGAAGAAATTAAACGAGTTATTCGTATTTTATCAAGAAGAACAAAAAATAATCCAGTATTAATAGGAGAACCAGGAGTAGGTAAAACAGCAGTAGTTGAAGGACTTGCACAACGAATAGTTAAAGGAGATGTTCCAAGTAATTTACAATGTCGAGTTATTGGATTAGATATGGGAGCATTAATAGCAGGAGCACAATATAGAGGACAATTTGAAGAAAGATTAAAAGCAGTAATAAAAGAAGTTAAAGAAAGTAAAATACCTATTATATTATTTATAGATGAAATTCATACAGTATTAGGAGCAGGAGCAACAGGAGAAGGAGCAACAGGAGAAGGAGCAATGGATGCAGCTAATATTTTAAAACCAATGTTATCAAGAGGAGAATTACGATGTATTGGAGCAACAACAATAGAAGAATATAGAAAATATGTAGAAAAAGATCCAGCATTTGAAAGACGATTCCAACAAGTTTATGTAAAAGAACCAAGTGAAGAAGATACATTATATATTCTTCGAGGAATACGAGAGAAATATGAAAATCATTATGGATTAACAATTACCGATTCAGCATTAGTTTCAGCAGCAACATTAAGTAAAAGATATATCAATGGAAGATTTCTTCCAGATAAAGCAATTGATTTAGTTGATGAAGCATGTGCTACATTATTTACACAAAAGAATTCACAACCAGAAGAAATAGATAAATTAGAAAGAAGAGAAACACAATTAAATGTAGAGAAAATAGCATTAGAAAGAGACATTAAAGAAAGTGATGAAGATCATAATAAAATGATTAAAGAAAGACTACAAGAAATTGAAAAAGAATTAAGTGAAAATAAAGAGAAATTAACAAAATTACGAATTAATTATGAAAAAGAAAAAGGAGGAAGTGAAGAAATGAAAGAACTTGCAACGAAAATAGAAGCTATGAAACATAAAGCAGAAAGTACTAAAGATTTAGAAGTAGCAGCTGATTTAAAATATTATGCAATACCAAAAGCAGAAAAAAGAATGAAAGAATTAAAGGAACAAAATA